TGGGGACAAATGGAGAAAATGACTGCCAAAGGTAAATACCTTGAATTTTGAAAATGCCATCTTTACAAGAATTATTCAGCATTTCACAAGGGGCATAGCATTTTCACATCTTTCATGGGACTGTGAGACACACCGCAAAAAACAGCATACTACATGAGCGATGTTGAATACCTACAAATGTATGCACTAAATATAAACAGCTGTCTTATTTAGAGACTGAGAATGACCTTAACAGAAAAATGATAATGCGTTTACCTTACCTTTCAGCTGTGCAAGTTATCACTGTTCTCTCTCAAAAGCAAAGGCCGGAGCAACGTGATGCAGTTAAAACCTCTGCAGAGCGTCTTAGAAAAGAGGTTGGGTCAAAAGCATGTAACTTTGATATACTGTTCACAGCCCAACACTCAATCTTTTTCCCCAACCATAAACCTACATTAGCTGATGTTTAGTCACTTTTAGGCCTGTGAACAGATTTATTACATGTATCATCTGTTCAGTTGATAAGGTGATAGGTGAAGGATTAGCTGATATCCAACCGATATGGGGCAACATTAGCATTCATTTGGATGCGTTTCTGGCCATCTATTGAATCCAAGTCCAATAATCGCTCTCCTTTTAGCTCTGTTTTGCTCTCCACCAACTCCTGGAGACCTGTTCAGATGTTAAATGCTCCACTAGCTAGTTGCTGGCTTAGCTGTCTGTTTGGTGCTTGACAGGTAGCATGCATTGGGCTTTAAGAAAAAAACTTTTTTTCGCGTAGTGTGGGCTATGAAACTAAAATAACAATGCTGAAATGCTCTGTAAAGCAGAGTGGAACTCCAGAGTCAGGTGGTAATTGCTTGTGTGTTTGTAACTTGGAGCAAATCCTTTCACATAAACATGGCCATTTGGTTCATTGTTTAATGTAAAAATAGTGATTATAGCATTTTTAACCAAGTAGTTTCCAGTTTGTCCCATGCTTAAGTTCATAACCAATTTCCATCATTCTCAGTTGTACTGTTTTGTGTATTTTGTTATTGGCAAATGTTAGCATGATAAAATGCTAAACTAAGAGGAAGATGGCCTTTCCTAGATGACTACAAGGTTATGTTATGCAAATATCTTGCACTTGTCAATTATAATTAAAAGATGAGGGTTGCTAAAAATGTATGAGGGACTCTGCGTGGAATTGCATAAGAATCTTTGAATCTTTTGTCACATTAATTGAAGGTTAGTTGGTGACAGGGGAAATGATGACAGAGTAAACAGGTAGTTTGTGTTGTGTAAAATACAATTTTTATTTTTACAACATTTAGGGTGAGATGCCCTTTGGGTAACATCATAATTCAAATTTGATAATATTTGTGTGAACCAACAGGGTCTGTTATTGTGTATTTATCACTGCGCCCAATATGGTTTGATAGCCTTGAAGAAAAGTTGTATCTTGGTGCTACTGGCTTTAAGTTAAAACTTTGTGTTGAATTAGGCCTTTTCTCTGTAGGTGATACTCCGTAGAGCAAAGCAAGTACTTAATCAATTACTTTTTAGTATTGTCCAGTACTTTAGTTTATCATTTCCATCAGCCCCAGCTGTACTGTTTTGGGGGTTTTGTATCTATTAGCAAATATTAGCATAGTAAATTGCTAAACAAAAAGGTTGAATTATACCTGCATTAACATCAGCATGTTATCATCATCATTGTTAGCATGCTAACATGTTAGCACAGTAGACCTTTAGTCTAGCAACATAAGCATGATCTATCCCTAATATTAACTATGTAGTTAGGCGGATAGTTTCATAAGCAAATGACAAAAGACCTACAGTATATTGTGTTTTTGGTATTAGAACTTGGGGAAAAAAACATAAGTTTCCAAAATGCCATTTTTTCAAAAATTTAGAATAAGTCTTTGTAAAGTGGACTTTTTCAGGATTTTACATTACACTCTACTCACTATGTGAGTAAGTGAGTAGGTAAAGCTTTATTTATAGAGCACCTTTTGAAACCAGGGTTACAAGGGGCTGTACACGTAAAACATTTTAAGAAATACATAGAAAAATGAGTAGTGGTGAGGTTCATGGAGCAAGAGGAGACTTGGGAAAAACCCACTGCTAAAGAGTGAGTAAGACATAGGGTAAAGGTAGGAGAGGAGGGGCGGGGCGGGGAGGGGGGGGGGGGTGGAGGCAGCAGGATAGGTAGGAGTGGAGGGAGGAGGAGTGTCAGTGAGAGGAGATAAGTAGGTTAAACTTCCTGAGCTGAAAATAGCTATCTTCTCCATCACATGGTAGCCAAGCTGCCCAGGGGAGCCTGGCCATATACAGCAGAGCCTCAGCACACTCTTACTAATCTGGTGTCTCTCTCTGTGTTTTTCTCTCTTCTCACACACATAGAACGTGCACACAGAACACAGGCACATATTTCCTCCAACTCCAGCATAATATCACTATATCTATTTAGGGCAGGGCATTTGTGTGACACTGTAGCCTTAGTCTTGATGTGTTATGTTTGTGTGAGTGTGTTTTCCTTTTTCATTTCCTCCATTGTAGCATCCTTTAACATTATGAAATTAGATGCCTAATCTCATCATACACCCATAACCTAACCATATCAATTAAGAAAACACTGTTTGACAAATTGACACTATCAAAAGCTGAGGGACAATTTGTGGATGTATATTGGGCAAATTACAAATAAGAGTATAATTTATTCCATTACTTGTCTGGTAGAGGCTAATTTAAGACAAAGTAAAATAGGGAGAGAGAGAGTGAGAAAGAGCAGGAAATTCAATAGGCTTGTGTGAGTGAGTGAGTGTGTGTGTGTGTGTGTGTGTGTGTGTGTGTGTGTGTGTGTGTGTGTGAGAGAGAGAGAGTGTGTGCTTTCCATTCCCCATGCATCCTCCATGTTTGATCTGTCAGACCTAAAATGCAGTGTATCCTTTGACCTTCCACTCTACATGAGATCAAACGCAGTGATTCTCTGTTGTACGTCACTCTCCTCCTAGGCCTTTCCCTTTCTCCTGAAGCAGATGCTTGTCATATTCCCCATTTCTCTTTTTAGTGGGTGTCTCCTTTCTTACGAGGCGGTTTTGATTATGTTTCACCTCCATTCTCCTTCCAGTGTGTTTGGGTATATGCTGTATTGGTATTCCAGCCTATCCCGCTTTCCTCTGGAGAAATTGGCTTGCTTTGATGGGCCAGGGAAAACCACTAAAAGGGAAGCTTTGACTCTCGTTTCCTTTCTCCCTGTCTGTTTCTTCCTCCTCCTACTCTTTGCTTTCTCGTACTTGTTCTTAACTCTTCCCACTCCATCTCTCTCTGAATCTCTCTCCTACTCCTTCTTTTCAGTTTGTATTCTTTATCCTTCTCTGAAGTCCTCTCTCTTGCTTTCCCTCCTCTGCCTTCTATTCGTCTTGAATAGACACACAGAGACATGCGCACACATGCAGCTTAAACACTCACTTTCAGTTACTTGGCACATCTGCCTGGACGTGTCTTTTTGTGTGAGTATGTACTTTATTTGCAGTGAAAGACACCTTGTGCGGTGTGTGTGTGTGTGTGTGTGTGTGTGTGTACAGTGATAAATCTTTGGGATGAAAGAGAAGGCTAACCACCCTAGGAGGTAAATTGAGGTAAATTGTGTGATTGAGAACTTAAAAGCAGGCCAAACATCAAGCCCATTTGGGACGCGGCGGGGTGTATGCTCTCCACGCTGCTTCATTTGTCTGTTCCTCATCCTTTCAAAGGCACACCTCGGGAGAGAAGCAAAGCAGAGGTGCGTTGTACATCATGACCTAAATTGCTTAATTATGCGCTATGGTCTAGTGCTTTTACCCTTGTACACATGAAATCATACAATGGGTCCAAATAGGTGCACAGCAGGTGTAGAGGAAATTTTTCTAAAGCCTGCATCATGAAGAAGTGTGAATTGTCTACCTTTGCAGTTGTCTTCGTGTGTCTGTCATTATAAATAACAGCAAACTGAAGCTATAATTAGAATTATAAGGTCTGTAGCTACAATGCTATGAAAGTTCATAGGTCACATCATAATAGTCAAGCTAGGTGCACAACTTCTAACAGACAGCAACTTTCAGAATACTGTAGTGCAATTATGTGTTATTATCCAGCTCTATCTAACAGACTCTTGTAATTGTAATTAAAGATAATTGCTCATAATTAGTATTAAGCTATCATCACATGGGGCTTCCGGGGGGATTACAAGTAAGGGGGAGTGTAAGAGTTAAGTGCAAAGCCGTTACTTTAATGTGTAGAGGCAACATCAAAGTAATCAGATTTATTCCAAATTCAGTTATCACTCCCTCACACATCATCTATCTAACTAACAGCTGAACCTGTGTATGACACTCAATATTACAGTGAACCATAAATTTTCAGGCAGCCATTCGGATTTGTTGGCTCATGGGTAAATACGAGCTTGTTACACCTTACTAGAAAACAAGAGTCAGAAACCAGCTTCAAACACATTCCTGACGCGCAGGGTTGTTTGCATTTTACTGTCATTTTGTTGTAGGTCATGTTTTTGTACAGGAAGTTAAACATGGTGGACAGTATGGACCGTGACCTAATTAAAAATCCGACTTGCATTTGACTGTCATATTCACGCATCTCTGGAGAAGAAGATGGCTTGGAGGTCTGTAGTGGGGCTTGCTGTAAACCAGTAGTAACCCCATAGATACTGTATAAATGCATGTTAACTCTCTCATAGCAAAGCCAAGTAGCGTCTGATCCGCATAAAGCCCTATGAAGACGAGACGTAAAGACACAGCGTAAAAAAATATTATTTTATGGTATATGCCTTATTATTAGTTTTTCTGTTTCTCTTCAAAATATGTCACATGACAGAAGGTGAATACACTCTGACTGTGTTTTTTTGTATTATAACATATGAAAAATATTTGGGTTTGTCAAGCAAGGTACATTTGTGGGGAAATGCATCGCAATAATTATTAACTATCTATTTCCCCTCTCTCTGTCCCTCCTCTTTCCCTCCTTTTCACTCTCTCCAGGACATGGGTCCTACCAGCATGCCCTCTGTGCCCCTCATGGTGGGCTGCGGGGTTTCCTGCACCGCTCTGCTCATCCTGCTGCTCATCTACGCTGCCTTCTGGAGGTGAGAACACACACACACATATATATGCACGTACACACACAGACTTGTTGGAGTCATGCATGTGTCTGTATTCACAAGTCCCTAAACACGTCCCTAAACACTGTTCAGGCTACATGTGCTTCCTCCGTTGTGCCAAAACTCCAGTGAAGCCTAATAAGGAACAAATGGTTCAACTACAGCAGGGGGTGGTGATTAGTTTTGTGGTAACACACATGGCAGATGGCAAAATCAAGCTAATGACTCTGCAATGTCCAAAAAGTTGCTGTTCAGTCCATCAATCTGTCATTAATACTTATCTCACATGTCTGTCCTCTCTCTCGCTCTCTCTCTTTCTCTCTCGGCCTCTGCTCTGTAGGTATATCCGTTCGGAGAGATCCATCATCTTGGTGAATTTTTGCCTCTCCATCCTGGCCTCCAATTTATTGATTTTGGTGGGACAATCTCAAACGCTTAGCAAGGTAGGGTGCACTGAAGCACAAAATGAAAACTTCATACTTTCCACCTCATCAACACCTTTGCGACTTCAGTGATACTGCTCGAGACTTAGCCCTCTCCAATGCCTAGAGACAAAACCGTCAAAAATAACAGTAGACAAGGTTCAAAAATAACAGTAGACAAGGTTCATTCAGTGGAATCCTCAAAGTGGAAGCTGACATTTTTGGCACAAAACACTCTTGAGTTGTCTGACTAAGTAGTGCGTGGTGGTCAGTATCGATCAAAATCAGGAACACAGGAGGGCCAGGTTCCACTGCTATTCTTCTACACAGTGTGATCTTTATCAAACTTCCCTTTTCCTCTTTATCCTCTTTATTTTGCAGAGTTCTCATTTTCCCCTGCTGACTAGTCCTAAGAGATGATTCACTATGACACTTCCCACAAAAATACTTTCTTTTTTTTTTTTTTTTTATTTTTTTTTTAAACATCTCCAGCTGTTTTATCTCTTTCTTTCCCCCTGACTTTTCTTTTCTCTTTAGGGCCTCTGTACTGTGACTGCTGCCTTCCTGCATTTCTTCTTCTTGGCGTCCTTCTGCTGGGTGCTGACAGAGGCCTGGCAGTCCTACCTGGCCGTCATTGGCAAAATGAGGTCGCGACTGATTCGCAAGCGTTTCCTGTGCCTCGGCTGGGGTGAGCATCTACAAGCACTTGCGCAAATATGACTGTAGTGTTAAGTTTGGCACCTGATTTGGATTCAGCTTTACTGTTAAGGCCTTTTGAGACCGGGAAATGGCAAAGTGAAATGTATCTGTGAGTCTTTGTGAAACATTTGGTTAGGGACGACTTACATACAAAGCTCCCTGTGCTTCTTTCTTATTTCTCTGTACTGTGCCTTTGCTCCCTCCTGGCATGTTGTTCTCAGGATGATGCATTATTTCATTCAACAGGGAGGGGAAAAAAACTCTCGGAGGCATACTAACAGGACATGCAGTTTATTAAAAAGACACAAGTGTATTTGTACAACACAACTAATGGTAGCTTCTTCCATTTTTGACTCAACTGACCATTCCCTCCCCTCCCATGTTATCATGCTATCATATGTTTCAGTTTTTATAAATGATAGTAAATATAAATGATGTTACTTTTCCTTCATTAACTAGTTAACCAGTAATATTGGCTTACATTGGCGTCACTAGGCAATGCAGCTTAATAGCACAACGGTTTTGGGCAGGTGAGGATACTGTTTTACAGATTAGGATCCTATTATCATTAGTAATTAGTTACTTTTATCCATATTTCACATTATTGTTTAGTCTTCATTTGATAATGAAAATTGTAGTACACTTTAACACCACCACAATGCAATGCTGTGTCTGCACAAATGCATATGAGCATTTTGTTTGTCAACATTAATCACAAGCATTAATATCTGCTGCTGTGTGCTTGGTATGGTGTATTGCTGATGTGACTTGCCCACATGTGAGTCAAGCATTTTGGCCGGTAGATTTCTGTAGTTACTGCATTTTGAAAGAGACTTATCAGCATTTATAGTGGCATCCGCCATAACACTTAGCTACCAATATAAGTTTCTGCTGTTACTCCTGTTGGAAATATAAACTGCCCCTGTGTGCCAGAGGATTTGTCAGCATTGCAAATGAAGACGCTTTCATGAAGTGGGTGCAGATTGAACCACTGTTGTGTGACAGGAATTGATGACAGACGGCAGCAAGACAGCCATATTCTACATGAAAATGCAACAGAGTGTTATGTTGTAGTGTTGAAATTGTTGGCTGCATTATTCTTCATAATCTCTATTTGCATTTATATCCCCTTTTTCTTTGCTGTATACTATTATACTGTATTTGCTGCTTCCATTTAAATTTATAGACATTCATTATAGTTTCTAATGTTGTTTTATCTAATACAGCAGAAGTTTCACACTATACATTCATGGCACAGGTAATCTCTCTCCTCTGTGCCATTCAGCCTCCATGTCACTCTATTATGCTGTCCTCTCAGTGTACTACAACATGATGCAACAGGCACCAGGGATGTTAGGGTGTAATCAAAACATATGATAACATCTGCACAGCACCGGCAAGATGCTTCGAGATAGCCCTAGAAATTACAATCGCAACCCCCACCACCACACACACACATACACACACACACACACACACACACACACCCACACACACACACACACACACACACACACACACCAACACAGCATCTGTTCATTTCACTTGCTATTGATCCCACCAGCCTAATCTGCCAAGTCACTGATGCCCTTACCTGATACAGAGCAGGGAGAATGTATAGATGTTGTACAGTCACAGATAGAGAGAGAGATACTGACACAGTGTGTGTGTGTGTGTGTGTGTGTGTGTGTGTGTGTGTGTGTGTGTGTGCGCAGCAGCAGCTATAGAATTAGCCGATAAACTTACAAATGCTCATGACATGCATGAAGCAGTCAAGCAGAGTGGAGAGGATCAAACAGCTTATCCTCCGCTCGTCCATTTCGCAATTTTCTTCCCAAATTATGTGATTGAAATCAGTTGCCATGGAAACAGGAGATTTGGGGTGTGACTGGACCTGTGTTGGATTAGCAGTAAAGTGTGTGTGTGTGTGTGTGTGTCTGTGTGTGTGCCTGATATAGATGTGTGTGTACAGTACTATATATCTGTAAATGCAAGATTGATGCTGTTGTTGTCTAATTGAAACTTTGCGCATGCTAGTTAGTGGACCGGCCTGGCTCCCCACCATCTTATTTGTTAATGTTAATGTGACTTTTTCTAATTGCTTTTCATTTGCAGCCATAATCACAGCTTTGTTAATTACATGAATATTTCAGAGCCAAGCTCATTACGGGCCCAGCATATTTCCTTCTTTTCCTGGCACGCGCTCTGTGACACTCAGTTTCACTCTCTTTCACTCTCATTTACACACACACACACACACACGGAGGCACACACACGTGCGCGCACACACATACACACACCCTCATGCAGTCACATGCATATTGCTTGATTTAGCTAATTAATGCATGACTTATTGACCACTCCAGGCTATAACTCACTTTTTTAAAAACTCTCTCTCAGCCTCACATGCTCACACACTCACAGCGATACGCACCCACCCACACGTACAGGCGTGGGGCATGTATGGGTCATCCACGGCGGTGTCAGTGTACACAAGATGTCAGTGCAACTAGAATGTCCTGACATGCTACGGCAGAGCTTTCATCCCTGCGATGGACTTGTAGATGGTGTAAGGCAGCACATGCAGAGCACATGGGCTTACCTGCAGAGCACTCAGCCAGTTTCAGTCACATATGCACATCTTACGCGCTATTGCATGGCTGCTTTGCATTTGAATGGAAAGAGCCTTATGGAGTTGTTCTCACTGGAGAATCTTATTTGGCCGACATACTTCACCGTCCCCATTATGGCTCCCTTTTATCCTTTGTCTCGCCCTTTTTGATCTTCTTCTCTCTGTTCATCTGCAGGTCTTCCAGCCCTCGTTGTAGCAGTGTCGGTGGGTTTCACCAGAGCAAGAGGTTACGGCACAGCCAGCTAGTGAGTACCCCTTCTAATACCAGATTTTACCTCTGAGTTCTGCTTGGATGGGCTAGTGGCTCAGCACCGTCCACTACCCTTATTGCTGACTCCTCAAAGCATACCAGAGGTTTCCTTTGCTGTTTGAAATAATATATCTGCCTTTCCTTCCCTTTAGGTTACAGGCTGAGGTCAATTTTATTAAATAAGTTAGGTGGTCATTAATTCAGTGCAGGCAGCCCATCTCTGCTATAAAACTAAATCTATAAACCCCTAATTGCACATTATTCGCATCAACAAAAGTCACTTTTTCCTCCATCCATCTAGCCATCCAATTTCTATACCGACTTATTTCCATTCTGTACAGATTCTGTAGAGAGCTGTAGAGATTCTTCTTGAGAAACATTAAAGTCTCTGAAAACCAGGTTTAAAATCGTTTTCAAGCTTTTCTCTGTAACTTTAAATATGTAGTCGTTTAAAGTAGGAAAAAACATCCATAAGTATTATGTATTAATTATTAGAGCCAAAAGTTCTAAGGGCTAACAAGCTAAATATGCTCCATCAGGTCTCTATGGGTGCGATTTGATCAAATTTGTCTGGCAGCATAAGCAGCAACCCCAGAATTGTCTATACTTCTTGATTTAAATGTTGCTAAATTCTGATTGGTGCACTGGGATATGTGATATGACCTTTTTGCAAATAAGCCCCACCCATTTGAATCCAGTGCCAAAAGCAGGGATAAAAACAAAAACAGAAATCTTACACATCTAATAGCCAAAACTATTACCTACTGCCAACTATTATATTACTATTATGTGTTTACAGAGGACTGCATCAATCAAGAGACTGAGAAAATAGGTTTCTTTTATGGCCTTTAGAATAAAAGCAGTCTCTTTTGGGTGTCAAGATTATCTATTTTCCATGTTCTGAAAAGGACATATAACTAGTCGGTGGTGCAATTGACTGAATGAAAGCACATCATAAAAGATGCTTACAGACATGTTCCCTCTTTCTTTCTTTCTTTCTTTCTTTCTTTCTTTCTTTCTTTCTTTCTTTCTTTCTTTCTTTCCTCTTACGTAACATCTCATTAATATGAGGACTGCACTTCAGCCTTTGAGCCGCGTGTGTGTTTTTCATCTTTTGCTTCCTCTTTATTGAGCTGCAATTAAGAAAACAGAGGGGTTTCAATATGCTCTGATGACATCACTGGAGGACATATAAACTCATTAAGTCTCAATGGCTTTCAGACCAAATGAAATTTCACAAGACCATGTACAGTTTGAGGATATGTTTTAGGTAATGTAGCCAACATAATAAATTTGCTCAACACTGAGGGCAATATTTACAGAAAACTTACCTACCCATAGAAATGACTTTATCCCTCACTAAGGCTATTCAAGTAAATGTGATATTTAATTAGGACTCACTAGGCACTCACAGCAAGTGAAATGTGAGACCTGAACATGGTGAAGTGATATTTCACACACCAGTAGTTCTGTGATTTTGCTGTATTTTGTCCCTGAAACGCTTCTCTGTTCTTTTTTTCCTTTTCTTTTCTCCTAGCTGCTGGTTATCCTTGGAGGGCGGTCTGCTTTATGCCTTTGTTGGGCCTGCTGCTGTCATTGTATTGGTGAGTCTGTCCAATGTACTCTCATCACGACAAGATTCCCTCACTCTCAGATGAACCATGCCTCCCTTTGTCACCGGTTACATTGGCGAAATCCTACAAATATTTTACTTAGACACCCTTTCGAGCTAGGAGCTTTAAAACAGTCTCCTATTGACCTCTGACTGTATTCCTTTCCCTTCACTCCCACTTGAACATGAAAGCATACATACCCAGGGTGTACTCGACAAAATGATGACCCGAGCACTTTGATCCTTGAGTTTTGAAAATGTCAGCCCAGAAAAACAAAAATATATTCCAGCAGACGAGAGCAGCACACGGCTGGACTGAATTCTAGCCCAGCAGCTAAATTTCTCACTCATATGTGTACTTTTAAAAGTATGAGTCACTGTACCCAATGTTTTAAAGGCAAAATCTTTTCTTTTTTTTTTTCAGATATAAATATGTGACTAACAGTGGGCGCCACACTCAGAATAATGTGTCTTTTGTTTCTGCCAATTGCTATGAAACACATTTTTATGACCAAGTAAATATATTGTTCTACAGCAGAACTGAGTGTATTGATTGCATCTCAGTGGTGTTTTAATCATCTGTTGTGTGCTGGGGTATGTGTGTTTTTTTCTAGGATTAGTTAATTTCTCCTCAATGAATCCCTGGGTGGATATTTCCACCACTAAGCTTAATAAGTCTGGATGGGGTACTAAGCTACAGTTTGGTAATTGCTGCCACTGCTGTTGTTGCGTTTGTGTGTCTGTTCGTGCGTTAGGATTCTCTTTGGTTGTTGCTTGCACACTTGCTGTATGGTCAGAAAGGAAAGGTGTGGATCACACAGCGTCACAGGTGTGTTGTTTGTAGGTTTTTTAGTAAATTCCTCACAAGAGAACAACAGTTTGACAGTTTCCGTAAGATGCAGTTTGAGACACAAGGGAACACAGGATTATATAGCGCTGATTATGAAAATGAAGTGAGTTCTCATGGTACTGTTATTTATAGGGTGCAAAGTGAGAAAACACTGCATAGAAACCTGCATGTTTAGATTCACAATTTCGTGTTAAAGTACACACAGGCTTTGCCTAAATAAATGCAATATGCTTAAATTTACAAGGGTAAAATGAATGAATGATAATAAAATAAAGGTGAGGCATTTGGAACCTTCATTTGGAAAAAGTCAAAGGTTGCAGCCATCATGTAAAATCATAGGACAGTCATCCTTGTAAGTTGTTTATCAGTGTCTGGTGTTTTTTGGTACGTTTCCAACTTTCCTTCATCTCTGCCTCCACAATGTCGATGTACACTCTACACCCCAGCTGCTGTGTGATGGTCCCCAGGCCCCTGGTGTTGTTGCTGTGGCCCCACTCTAACAAACAGCTGTAATGAGAGTGGGACGTCGGGCAGAGAAACACAGACCTTCCCACTGGACTCTTCTCTAATTAATGAACCTGGCCTTGGGCAAATAGCAGAGCGGGATGATGCTGACTCACAGAGCTGTGGCCAGACATGACTGGCATGACAATAGCGCTCTCGCAATCTGGCACATCATAGGTGGTTGTCAGCGGCAACACACAGGAGAGGGGAAGAGATCAGAGAGGGAGTTTTTTTTCACAAATTGTAAAAGCTGCCAGATGTACCATATACCCTAGATGCAGCAAAGAAATAGGCTTCAAGTAAAAATCCGGCTTCTGCAGAACCTGCAAAAACTGGAAATTCAACTGACCACATGAAAGTCAGACTCAAACTGCTCAACTACTCAGCTCTTTCCTCAGGATTTCTAGAATAAGATTTTTCTGCCCAGCCAGAAGCTGCTGCTGGTGACAGATGAAGGAAGGAATCTAAGCAGACATTCAGTTTAGGACCTTGATAAGGAGAGGAAAGCAATGCATACACAGTATAGGTATGTAGTGGAGTGTGAATGTCATTCGTTGCTTATGCACCTCATCGCTGAAAATCGAAAGAACACAAGCAGATGAATGATTAAACGGACTCTCTGCAGAGAAACCTGCAGAGGGAGAAAGAAATAGTAGGAGGGAATGTTGGAAATCAGGATTATAAGGAAAATGTCGCCAGCATAGAAAATCTCCCAGATGGGCCAGATTTCAGAGCAGAGGAGGTCTACATGTGGCAAACCTTGGCTCAGATCTGTGTGTGCGTGTCTACTAGAATCTGTATCACTAGGTCACTATTGCCAGATGTTTGGTGAGCTTAGCTATGGGCTTCTCATTAGTAAGAGAAGCCAGGATGAGAGACAGCCAGTGTTTTTTTTTTTGTTTGTTTTTTAAGGTAGTTACCATAAATGGAAATATCACTGCTTTGAGTGATGATATTTACTGCGTGTAGACTGTTTTGTATTAAGTGCAGCACATACTTAAAAGCCAGCAACTAATAGAAAGTAATAGCCCTGATCCAGGACTGCCGTCTGACAGTCATTTGTGTCACAGTTATGGACGGCTGTCAAGAGGGAAACCCAATGTTGTGATTGGAGTGATGCTGGATGTTTGAATTTGCTTGAATGGTAAAGGCAATACACTCTCCTGGCAATCGCTCCGAGCTATTCTTCGGATCCGCAGGTGGTGATAACGCAACAAGAAATGTAGCAATGCGCCAGAAAAGGCAGTGAAGACGAAGACTGTTAGAAAATAAACAAAGTATGATGCTTCACTTTATACTTTCTTCACAAGGAAAACTCCAGAGGGTACCGTTAAAGTTGGTGCAGTATTTCCTCCTCACACACTGAATAGATGACTGCACAGCAGCACTGCACTCAGATCAGTCAGAGGTTATACAGCAACCATCTATATCGTCCTGATTATGCTCTTACATCACTATTGATGAATCAAAAGAGGAAAAATATGTCTTGATCCTACAAATTATGAGTAATTGGCCAAGCGTAAAGTTGCATGTTAGTGTAATTTAGTGTCTTAATCTGGCTTTTGTTTTTTTATTGCACCATAAAAGGTTTATTTCTCCGTTCCTGTGCATGCATCTTCAATACCAGCATCATTTATGTAACAAAGTTGCACGGTTCTGACTATGAATGTTTATAAAAGGCAAACTGAGGTATAAATCATGGTAATATCATCTGGTTAGATTGAATCATCTCTATAAAAAATAATAATAAATAAATAATAAAAAATTAAATACAAAAATTTGGTTTAATAAGTCCTGACAAAGTTGGTTTAGTTAAAGCAGAGTTTACAGTGTGTGGATGCTGTCGAATGAGGTGTTTGAGAATTATGTCCAACTTCATCTTTACACATTTTAACCAATAGTTAGTTCATTACGACAAACTTTATAGTTTTTCAATGCTGTTCTGAAATATATGTACCCTTTGCTGTGTGTAAAACCTCGTGGAGATGAGTTAAAAACAAGTCAGCCTGGGAGCCCTGACGGCAAATGCCCTGTCACTTTCAGTCACTACTATGTGGGACAATTAAAAAGTCATCCTCTAAGCACTGAAACATTGAGAGAGAAATACAGAAAAAAGCTGTTACAATGCACGAAATCCCTGTTGGCAGCCCATCTATTACAGCAATCCTTATCAAACGCTCTTCTCTGTCTCTCTCAGGTGAATATGCTCATTGGAATTGTGGTGTTTAACAAGCTCATGTCTCGAGACGGCATCTCAGACAAGTCTAAAAAGCAACGAGCGGGGTAAGTTTGCTTCTTAAACCCTCTGCACCTCGCACGCATTGACGCACTCCCACAAAACACACACAGAGACACACACACACACACACACCCCACACGACTGACTACAAATTTGCTGCGTTAGTTAAATTTTACCCTCTGTCAGACACAAACTCGGGGGGGGGGGGGGGCACACAACATTTTCATGGCAACTAACTCAAACTGCTTTCAAGGGTCTCTGCACACACACCTACTTGTACACCTGTGCCTCCAGTAAAAAAATAACCCCAAAAAAAGAAGAAATTGATCCAATTTGGCAACGAAATGACAAGACATCTGTTCTGTTCTGTTGCTCTGTGAAATCTATCAGCATTTCGCTATCGCTTCCACATACATATGGTTTCCCATCTAATTCTCTCAGTGTTATGTGCCATACATGAATACTGTGGATGACAAAATCAATGGCAGATGGAAACCTAATTATATACAGTAAACACAGGGATTATGTGGATCAAACCATATGCACTATTGAAATCATATGCGTTCCAGACACATGCGGACATATGATATATGCATACATTTAAGAGATGCATGCATATGCACCCACCTACAGCATCACCTCTATTAAAGCAGTTGGCAGTCCATCATCTTTACTAATCCTAAACGTTGAGATTTCCTCAGCTCTCGCAGCCAAATCCATGTTTTCATTTCCATACCTATTGATTCCTTTGTTTTCTCTCTCTATCTTTCACACATTTTCTCTCTCTCTCATTATATTTCTTCCAGAGTCTGTCTCTTGCACAAATTGAAATCGATCATTTGTGTATAGCTGCAAGGGTTAACAGTACAGATTGGTGCTGGGTTGATTGGCTTTTGTTACCCAGTGATGCAACTGAGATTAAGACAGCTAATGTGTACAAACACACATGCACAAACCGGCGTGCCCTGCTTTGTTACAGGAAAGATCTTTGGTATTATCCAAGTATTAAGCACATTTCCTCTCAGGTTCTCAGAAGTGTGTGCGTTGGCGGAAACACACACACACTCACACATATCTAAGCGCTCCCACACGCAGTAGTTGAGCGTGTTGCTAACAGGACAGGCTGTCATTAGCATAACGTATTTCTTTATGAAGCCGTGGGGATGTGGCTGGCACTAAGGCAATGAGCTGTGATGGGACGCTAATGTAGCATAGCTTTGCATGGCCCCATCATTCTTCAGTCGCAATATATATACAGTATATGCACACAAACACACACACACACACACACGCACGCTGTTTCTCTCCATCTGAGTAGTCAACTGTAAGTAAACAACCAAAGGAGTCCTTTTCTCCTCACACACCCCAGTAAAGCTTCATTGTGCACAGTCACATGTACAGATAAGTAGCTCACACACACACACACACACACACACACACCTGCATACACACTGGCAGTGGAAGAAGATGCTTGTGTGTATTTCCTGTCTGTGTCATTGTAAATCTGTTAATCCACATGACTCTGCTGTAACATTGCAAATGTCCGTCTCACGTTCTCTCTACTTGCTCTGAATCAGTCTTTGTATTCTGACTGTTTTTTCATTGCTGCTACTTTTTTATGATCTGGTTTTAATTTGCCTGTCTTTCTTTTCTCCCTCCCCCTCCCCCTTTTTTCTTTTCCCCTCCCCTCTCTTTGTTGTGTCCACTTTTTCTCTCTCTCTCTCTCTTTTTTTTTTGCTTTTCTTTTGATTCTTTTGCAACTCTTGACACCTGCACATTCACCTGTTGTCATCACTGGAACTTGTGTTTCCACACATTCCCCCACCCCACTCCCCTTCTTCTCCTCTCCACATGGTTTTGTGTGTGTGTGTCTTTTTGTGTGTGTGTTTGTGTGTGTGTGTGTGTGTGTGTGTGTGTGTGTGTGTGTGTGTGTGTGTGTGTGTGTGTGTGTGTGTGTGTGTGTGTGTGTGTGTGTGTGTGTGTGTGCATGCGCGCGCATATGTCCTAAAGTGTCCCAGCGGAGGCGCGTAGCCGACTGCTCCTGAAATGCTCCAAGTGTGGCGTGATCTCGAGCACCGCTCTGTCCAGCTCGACTGCCAGCAGCGCCATGTTAGTCCATCTTCATCTCTCTATCTCCACCATTCCTCTCTGCCTATCTCTCCCTCTGCGTCATCCTCTCTCCATCTTCCTCTCTCTGTTTCTCTCTCTCTCTCTCTCTTCCCTCCATCCTTTTAATCTCTGGCTGTCGGTAATGATGCAGGATGACATTCAGACTTGTCTGGATAAAAAGAAAACAAACCAATGAAGGGAAAAACACCTGCACTGCAAGCCGCCACTGTTTAATGAGAGCATGTTTTGATCCAAAGAGGATTTTGCTCAGGTCGCACAGAGCAAACCTGACCTGTGTCAAACAGTATTTGTGAATCATTTTTAGAGTTTGTTTTAACTTGTACATAGCGCTGTGTTGTAGAGGCTTATCACATCAGTGCAGCACAATGTCAGGAAGGTTCTCAATTATGCAAACGGTGGAACACATTACTGTAAATGTCTCAACTTTCAGGCTCTCATCATATTAACTTCACCTCCTCAAACAGGTGCTCACGGTATCACATCAAATATCTAACAGGTAAAACTGAAAAAGCGACGTCACATACTGTAGCTGCAGCTATTTAAGTCTCTCTGTATAGAGCATTTTTCAGTATTTTGCTGCATAATGCCTGAATGTGTCTAGGTGCCATGTTTTGTAAAGGAGCATTCCACCAATTTTACATATCAAACCAATTTACTAGTCAAGAAGAGTGCTACACAGCTTGTGAAAACAGTTGTATAATGTCTTCTGGAGAAGCTTTGTGAAGTCTAAGAAAAGTCCTGTTTTTTTTTCTTAAAAATTTGAATATAAAAATCAGCTACTTAGTGAATGTAGCACCACTAACACTTTCTCCATTTCCCTTATAATTAGTACCAAGTTGTGTACACTTTTCTTGGAAATATCGTAGTAATTTACGGCTACATATCTGCTATCTTTTAGGAAATTCTGAGGAAATTAGCTGGAAAATATTGGACCTGTAAAATAAAGCAATGCCGAATATGCATTTGACATTCAAGTGCACATTTTCCAAGCAGTGCAGCAACGAAGGTTTGTGACACACACAATATGCTGTTTGGTTGTCTTTTAGGATTCACAACAACAAGTAAAAATCACATTAGGTATCCTGAACACTATTGTCGAAAACACGCTGAGCAGGCAGAGGTAGATGTAAGGCAGTTATATGTATTTCCTATACCCGATTTCTAGAAGTGCTATACAGTACACTACTCTCTGAACTTAAAATATCTCAAAATCTCCCTACCGCCATCTCTCAGACGTTTGAGAAGATACCACTGTGGTGTAACAAGGAGAAGATTTGTACTTTTTTTATAGACTGTTTTTTGTTAGTAAGAGGTTCGTTGTCATGGTTTCATATTCAGTGCAGTCACTGTGGCCAGTCTGATTTAAAGATCTTCCTCCCATTTTACTGTTGCAAAAAATCCTGTGTACATTGAACTCTGTCCTTGTGCTAATCTCTCATTATGACTCGGTTTATTTTGGAAAAACACTCTGTTTAAAGCAGAAGCTCCGTTAGCGTCAGTTGTTGCTGTAATGGGAGGAGATTGCCTTTTTGAAGTAACATGTTGTTTCCCTTTTTTGTTGTCACTGGGAACACGCTGGGGTATTATTGACTTTCTTTTCATAAACTTTGCTGAACTCAGAACTGGCTATATATTTGCTGAGTGCATATGGAGCCTTTTATTAGGTATGATCATTTCTATTCACATTACTGCACGTTTTCTTACTACCTGCTGGACACCATTTAGTTGAAAGGTCCTTCAAATAATCCACTTAAGCAGTAATCAAACAGTCTGTGCCGTATCATTTCTATTTTATTTACTGGAATAGCATTTGACCACAACAACTTATTCCTTCATTCTGTGTTGCATTACTATACACAAAGCCTGGTCTTTTTTTGCTTAAGTATCCTGATACAGCTTTAAAGACTATTACTTGGGAATTTATATATTTATTAATTCCAAGCTTTCCACACATTTTTTTACTCCCAAATGACTTTGTCGCTGTTTGAAAGAGAACTACCATTAAAAAACACTTTATTTACGATAAGGTGCACTTGTAGTGTTAGAGATAGAAAGTAGGTTGCTCCTGTTACATTACTGAACCATATTGTGTGGTTAACATCACAGTCCACAACAGCTGGAAACTTTACAAATTAATGAGACGACAGTGCAGCTTTGGCTTTATTGCTCTTTATTCTCTTTTATTCATAGCCTGTGGCCATGCACCTCTACAGGGACGTGCACACTTCTCAGGGTAGCTACATGGAGCTGTCTGTCTGTCACACTGAAGGTTATAAAACCATGAATATGTGCTCAAACAGCATGAACATTTTAAATTGGTGTCTGACTCCGAAGAGTCACAGACACAGTTGCACACACACACCCACACACATTTACTCCTCAGAAGCCCCCTGTGTCAGTACTTGTCAATGGCCTGTCTACCCCCCCAACCCCTCTCTTTTGGGCCTCTGCCTATCGTCTCACAGTCCGCCAGCATGACACTTAGTGTGCATCAACCATGTAATTGTGAGCAATTGTCTTGTAACTATCTACATGATTACACATCATCTTCCACTTCTCAGTTAGAATATTAAGTCTGAAACCTCAGTGTGTCAATCAGCTGCAGATTGCCCACCACTGAACCTATGACTGATGCGTATGTATGTGTGTATGTGTGAGAAGTGGAGTTATGTGACTCATCCGAGCTGGCCTGTCTGGTTTGAGACTGAACCCCTTGTTCCTTCTCCTTCTCTCCTCTCCTAAACCCCCGCCCCCTTCTCTGTCTCCTTCTTCTTCTTCTTCTTCTTCTTTTTCTTCTTCTCTGACAGGGCCTCTCTGTGGAGTTCCTGTGTGGTTCTTCCTCTGTTAGCATTAACCTGGATGTCAGCAGTGTTGGCCATAACCGACCGGCGCTCCACGCTCTTCCAGGTGAGGTGTCTCACAACACTAGCCGTAACTCACACTCATACACCATGAAAAAGCTGCTTTAAAATGTTACATTGTGAGGCATCAGAAAGTTCAGCACACACCAGAGGTGTCACACAGACAGAAGTGGTTATGGTACACTAGATTTCTGGAGAGTTCATGCTCATTGATGCTCAGAAATATGACACCGATGCGTACTAAAGCATTGTCAAAATATGAGCTTACATAGGAGAGCAATCAGTGCAGGTGTTTTGACATACATCATAAACTGCCAGTGTGTGATTCCCTTTCTGTTTAGTCACTTATTTTATTTAAAATGTCATGGGTCACTGAATCTAAAAAGTGTAACTGCTGATGTAAAATGAGTCTGTAAACTTCAGGTAGTCTCCATTCTTGATATTTTATCACATTAAACCTGAATAGTACAATGTTTAAATAGAGAATAGGCCAAAGGCAAAATGGAATAAACATAAAACTAGAAAACAAGCTGCTGTATATTTCCCTCTGTGTCAAGATCACAACTAGAAACACAGTGAATGAATGAAAGTATGAATGACTGCGATGGTTTAACATGAATAAACATGATTCAGCTGACTCATTTCATTCCCATATCAGTGTTTCTCTAATGATCACTGAGTCATTTCACTACAGTATTACAGGATACAGGATATAACAAACATGAATTCTTACATTTCCAAATGTAACAAAACAGGAACAAAGGCAATAAACATCAAAAATGACATTAAACAAAGGCGACGACAGCTCATGGTTGCTGGTTGTCACGGTAACGCAACGCGCTTTCTGGTTCACAAGCCCTCCAGATGCACAGAAGTCAGAAATAATGAGTGTCTCTGTAAACGGAGCTCAAAGAAATGCTGATGCATCTCAGCCCTCAACACAGTTTCAGATGACCAAACCAAAAATAACTCAAATAAAATGCACTGAAATCAAAATGCAATGTTACAGCTGTAAATGTACAGCTTTTCATGGGGAAGAGGGGTTTGCTATCCCGCAATAGGATACCTCTTCTGCAAGGAGAACACTGTCAGATGTGGCAATGCCAAGTAACTTCAATAAACATGTTGAGATGAAACAGCACTCTTTAGCCAGCAAAGGTACTGAATACATGAAGAATGCTAAATGAAAATCGGAGTCAATTCATGATCTCGTGTGTGAATCTTTTTGTCCTTGAAAACCTTAAATGTGAATTTTTTTACTTCTGAGGAGAACAAAAGAAACACATTTAATCAATTAGCAATTTTAGCAGTTGTTTACTTTAACTTAAATATTCAGCACAATAACATCAAACTGCTTACTTCTTTTTTTGACTCTCACTTGACATGTGCGACATGATGTGTGTAGGTGTGTTGTGTGCGGTGTGTGGGATGAAAAGAAAACATAATTCACAACAAGGGAGTGCCATGGTTACAAAAACATTTTGAACCACTGCAATAACCAACGGATGTTTCTGGTCTCCTCCAGGTCCTTTTTGCCGTCTTTGACTCTGTCCAAGGTTTTGTCATCATCACCGTCCACTGCGCAATGCGCAGAGAGGTGAGTCTGTTAACCAAACCCAGTGTGAATCCCACACATGCTTAACTCACACGTCTCTAATTCTGCAACGCACAGTGACCCCAGCAACACTCTCCCACCTCGACAGGTGCGATTCATGTTCATAAATGTCACATTTGTTTCCGGGTCAGTTTAAAGTCACGACAGAACATGGAGCGGATCAGACTTGAGAAGGATTAGCACAGTATTTATGTCCTATGTTGTGGCGCTTCTTCTTCATAATGCAGTATGACAGCGCAGTATTGTCCATCTGATCCAAGGCTGGTTTAAGGAGCTTACTAAGATGCTGTATGGAATAAGACGATAAGTCCCTAACTAATACCCCCTAGTGTCTATTTGCCACAGGCTTTGCTGTGCCCCCAGGGATGCTGAATTTTAAACTCATTATGCACATACAGTACATGTATTCATGCCCTTGAGACAGACTTTTACACGCACACTGACACATGCACACACACACTAATTTTGTTATGTAGTTACTCACAACTGCAGCAGCTACATTAATGGATTTACAATGTCATCAGTTTTCCATAACTGTAAATGTGCACCACACACGCCTTGCCTATATCCAAGAGATCATAACGATATTGAATCCACTGCATAGTGTAAGTGAATTTTTAAATGATCAAAATGCTTAGCTGCATTAAATCAATATCACAAAAGCAGCAGGGATCAGGGTACAGTAAATCCAGGAATTATTTATTGTAAATGTATGAAAATCCCTTGCACGAGAGTGAGTGTAAATCCTTGGTAGCTGTAGAACAACAGGAAGAGAGGAGTGCCACACTGGGGGGGAGGGGGGAGGAGGAGAACAAGGGTGGAAAATGAGGAAGCATTACAGAGCAAAACAAGAGAGGAGGCAATACAAAGTGTGATATTATGTGAAGTAAACTAAAGACACAAAACGTGCCGGTGAGCAAAGCCGGCGCATAGAGCTCCTCGATAGCACCTGCTGCATGTAAGGTGCGGCGGGGAATGAAAGTACCGCGGTGGCACAGGCGGCCCGCTGTGATCAGTCGAGGAGAGGCGAGCGAAGGAACATGTGATGTTAGAGGTGTTGAGGTGTTGCGATTAGGAGGCAGCAGGAGAGAGAGGCAAGGGAGGGGGAGGTATGTTGTGAGAGCGGGTGAGGATGAGACATAGTTAAGTGAAGAGGGGAGAAAGGGAAGACAAATTGCATGCAGGGATCTGTGGGGAAAAGAAACATGATTCAAAGGCAAAGCAGGGGATGATAGCAGGGGAGGAGGAAATAGAGAGGAAGGTGGAGAGAGGTATGGACTCATAGAGGGGCTCTTCACTTTGAAGACAGAATGAGCTGCATTGACTGCCAATACACACAGACACATACACACACACACACACACACACACACATTCACTCTAAAAGAGAACAAGGGGAACAAATGTCACTGAGGATGAGTATGGACATAAAGGGAAGAAATGGGCAGAAGGAAACAGTGGAGGCAATACAAGAGCACATGCAGTATTAATCAGACATGGATGCTACTCAAATCCACTCCATTTGTAGCTGGGCACACGTGCACACACACACACAGACCACCCAGCGAGAGTGAAGATGCTCTCGTTCTCGCTCGTACCGCTTCCTACACGAGCACTCTTGTTTCCATGCATGAGATTCTTATGGGATTTGACAGCGGCAACATTGAGAAATGATGTTGCTCTGCAGCAAGCAACCAGGATATCTATAATACAGAGCCAGATTGGGGTGGGGGGTGGGGGGATCTCTCAGAGTTGGCTGTGAAATATAATGCGCAGGGATCCATTTGATTTGAGCTGTGTTACAAGAGCTGGTCCTTTGACAGTGGGCTGGTGTGTGTTTGCTGAGATGCCGTATGTGGGAGGATAAAGAAAAACAATATGACACTGTAAAGGCCCAGAGGTTAGAACATCTATATACCGTGCTGCTGGTTTTAATTGGGACTGTGCGCCACTGATCTTACAAGGCTCAAATAGGACACTTTGAAGTACTGCTGTGTGTTTTCTATACCACTCCACCGACTGTTATATAAGCAACAAGCTGAGCCACTCTGCGAGATATATGGCGTTTCCATTTACTTTGCCATTTTCATATAATTTAGTATTCACTGAACATCTGTCATTGCAAAGATAAAGATGAAGAATATAAAATGTCTTAGGAGTGAGTTCCCTATGCTCCAACATTTGCCAAACTAACTCAAGAAAAAGTTCCTCCGCAAACTTCTTTCCTTTGCATCATCCTTTCCTCTCCCTCATCATTCTTTACCCCTCCCTCTTTTTCCGCTCTATATTCACCCTCCCTCCCCACCCCACCCCCATCCCTTATTCCCCTCCCCTCAGGTGCAGGATGCAGTGCGCTGTCGGATGGGGGGATGTAAAGACGACAGCGAAAACTCACCAGACTCCTGCAAGAATGGACAGGTGCAGATCATGGTGAATAGCATTCCATTTCATCCCACATTGCAATCCATTAGCCTCGCACTAACATTAACCAGGCTGGAGCTTTCCGCAAGCTTCAGCCCCAGTAGAAAGAAGCATGATTGCATTTACTGAAGTGCTCAAACTCATACCTGACTCTCTCTTTTTTTTTTTTCCTTAACCATTTTTAACTTAACAGAAATTCATTATTGTTGATGCATTATGCATTTTCACATTTTACTTTCCAAATGTTTGATTTCACTCCCCACACAAATGCAATTTCACCACCACCTTGAAACTAACTTCCCATGGTGCTGTAACAGGACATAAAAAGTTGTCAACAAATACCACTTCTGTAACAATATCCCACTGAAATTGATATTAATGCATTTTCCACATTTTCGTTGTTTCTACTTCAGTAACTCAATAGCTCAATATTGCCCACTGGACTTCCATGTATTACCAAAACAGATGCTTCAGCACTTTTATTTACTTTTAACCTAAACTTCTTCATTTTTATTTGAAGAGCACAGAGGTCCTGTAAGGTTATTGTATGTGTTCCAAATGTGGCTAATAGTGTGATAAATCATATAGACTTGAGCTGCCTTGCCAATGTCAGTACGGTCACAATGCTACTAGTAGAGCATGAGCGAGTCTCACATCGCTATTCCCCTTTATTTCTCCCACAGACCTGTTTGCCATAACGATTATGGGCTTCTGAACGCCCCTCTGAGGTTATCAAGATTAAACTTTGGAGCCATCATTTTGCACAGGGAACCCATTATGTCACATTTCTGTCTCTGTTTTCATAACCGAGAGGAGCATTACAGTCAAACTGTGCTTATTTAATTTTTGGTTAAATGTATTGTTATCATGCACACAGCTCACAGTGTCGGCTGGTTGCTATGCCAACTGTTACAGTTAAGGAAGACAGTTGATAAACCGTCTTGATTTCTCCATTTTTTTTTTTTGTTTTGTTTTGTGTAATATGAATGACTGTGAAGACATTTTTTAGCAGCAGCACATGTGCATGGACAACTGTTGTATGAATACCTTTAAGAGCATTAATTGTGATGTATAATTTGGTTGGGCTGCCACCAGTATTATCAGCATCATAATTACAGTGAGCACCATCCTCTCAGGTGTTCTTGCTATACTCAGAGGAAATCTCATTACAGTGTTAAACCCCTGACATTTAGAGACATCATAAAGATGCAGAGCTGAAGCTACCCCTTCTTGTTAAAGCTGAATCACAGCCGTCTTTATAAAAATTAATTAATCTCCGATGAAATCTCAGTGCTGTCCTCTACAACGCTCTTCCTCTAACATTCCAACTTTATGTTTTCCATTCATTTCTTTTATACCATCAGAAATGTCCAAATGTGAGCTACTGTGGGCAGCAGTGTGGTTCTCTGCGTTACGGCACATCCCCGTGCCTGTCAGGTTGCCACCCTCAGCAACTCCCAACATCGTGCCACCCGGCATGCCAGCAAGGCTGTTACCACAGTCTGCTCCGCGGCACCAACAACCAAGGGCTAGACTACACCCAGGCCCTCAACCACGCACATGAGCATAACCCCATCCTGAACAACACCCACAACCACGCTCATAACCATAACCACTCCCACAACCACATCGGCAGCCAACCAGTATGTCACCTGTAGAAGAGTGATTATGAATAGTCAAGTCCATAGAAGGAGAAAGGTGCAATCTGTAAAAAAAATGTCCTGCCACAAAAATGAACAAATATTAAGGAAAGAATTTGACATTTTGAGACAGGCACATATTGACTTTCTTACCAAGAGTTAGATGAGATGATCAATATCACTCTCATGTCTGTACTCTAAATAGCAGCTAATCAACATGTTTCATGTTATACTCTAAATAGCAGCTAATTAACATGTTATATGTTGTTTCTTTAAGCTAGAAAAAAAAACCTTTGTGTAAAAATGTCATGTTTTACAGAGGGTTATGAGCTGGATTATTTCTTGGTGAGGCACAGTGACTTTTTGGAGTCTTGTCTTCAATGTGGGACTGCCAGGCAACTAGCAGAGACTTCAGGCCACTGCCGGTGACCAAGAAATAGTCCCGCACATAACCAATTTTTGCACAAATAAGATATAATGTGCTGATTAGTGAGGTTAAAACTGCTAGTCGTAGCAAGCTGTTTACCCTTGCTTCCAGTCTTTGTGCTAAGCTAAGCTATTCCGCTGCTGATGGCAGCTTCATTTTTTAGCATACAGATGTGAGAGTAGTATCAATCTTCTCATTTAACTCAGCAAGAGAGCAAATAAACATGTGAAACAAAATGTCAAACTATTCCCATGACCAAAAAAGTCATCACTGCATAAAAATTTTTGTTTTGTTTTGATTACATATTGCACCTTTAAATCTAAGTATAATATGGTGTATAAACAGACAGTACCACTTGCAATGCTGCAAGTAGCTGCCGTATGTTTGCTCAGTCTTCACTGTAGGAGTCAGTCAATAGGACTGTGTTCCCATAAGCAACAACTGTTTGGTAAATCTGTGACCTTTTACAGGGAGAGTGTGTGATGGTTAAAATAAAGATGATTTGTTTTATTCAGTTTGGATGGGCGAGACAGACTGAGAGAAAGAGAGAGAGAGGTTTTTTCTTATATCCTCATTTGCTCATTTAGTAGAGACCCATCTATGGTGCTGCGGGTGATTTACGTACTAAGAGCTTTTCCGCTCCTCTGAGACCTTTACATATTCTCTCCTTCTCTCTCTCAGTTTTTCATTTCCCCCTGTCCTCTTCTCTTTGCCTCTGTGGCGTGCCCAAACTGTCTAAAATCTGTAGTTTATTATCCAAACAAAGGCTTTTGTAAGTGAATCCCGCCGAGGACGGGAGGAGGCTCTGTGGTGAGAGAAGGGAGGACCACAACTGCATAGCAATGAGCTTCACTTTTACTAAAGTTTAGGAAAAACTTGAGTGGTGGCCGTTTGGAGACAATACTTCTTCATTTAATCCATCTCCTTCTGGGTTTCATTACCCCAAGGAGTAGTGCCACCTTGCATTCCTCAAGTGAATTCTAGGTCAAAGCAAACAAAAATAATCATATTTGACCCTCCCCAAAATACTTAGTCTGCATAAAATCTGAATATTAGGTGCAGGTTACTCAGTAATGTTTGTGTTTAGGAATGAATGAACTGTAAAAGCATTTGTATTCTCACATGAGGCTATATTTTTTTTTCTGTCAGTCTAAGAGAAGAGTCGACTAGAAGACAGCAAAGTTTTGCTTCAACTGGCACCGCAGATAATAGTTTTGCTGCTGTGTAAATTTCTGTCCCCGTTTCCATTCAGACGATACCGAGGTGACTGATGAGGCATACAGTAGCATTACGTACCTGGCAAAAACACAGCGCTCCGCTTGCCTCTCTCAAAGTCTGAATTTGGATCTGCTGCTGTGAACCGATACACATCATGAACAAAGTGGCAGTAGAGTGTGCCATCAGACACAATTCTCTCTATTTTCTCTGTTCTTTTGGGTTTAGGACAAATGCAGTAGGAAGAAATGAGAACTGAACATTTCTAGTATGACTTGAGGCAACATTTTTTTTTTTTCTTGCACTTGTTCATAGAAGGCATTTCTAATTGACTGAGTTGTAAAGTGTCACCATGGCAACAGATCCCATCCTCTTCTATAAAGTCAAATTAGAGCATAAGAGTCATTGGATACAGCATAACCATTCGAGATCCAATCACTCATCGGGTCTGTTCTGCTACTAATGGAGTGAATGTACTTGCACACACTCATTGTATTTCCTCTCTTCCTACCCTGCCTCCCTCTCTCAGACGGATTTTGAGAAGGATGTGGACTTGGCATGTCAAACAGGTGAGCGCTCCCTTCCCCCTAATTTCTTTTTCCCTCTCTCCATTTGGCTTTCTTTTTCTTGTCTTTTCTTTTCTTTTTTTTTTCCTCTTCCATTATCTAACACAGGATTAGCATTGCAGAGAGGCAATGAGGAGGTGTTACATTCTTAGTTCGCTGCTGTGCATGTTGATGAAATGACAGGAGATGATGTGCTACATCTCGACACAGTTGTGCGCAAATTATTATGCCTTATCAATCACACTGATTCTGCCCAGTAAGTGTTCAGCGAACATATGTTTGGATTAGACTGTGTTTAATTGCGCTTGATAATAACAATCCTCAATGTTGTCCAGACCTGCTTCACTCACTGGTGACAAGGGTCTTGCGTGTGTTTGTGCCTGTGTTAAAAATGTGTACAAATGTACCACAATATGGTTTATGTTGTGCTTTGAAATATTAACACAGCGTCACTTTCCCCCTCCACCCTTGCAGAGAGAGGACACCCATGTAAGTCTTGCACCTATAACTGACCTACTTAACACTGCCTGGTCTTTCCCCTAGAATTCAATCATTTCTATAGACGAATCCGGGCTGTAGGTAAAACTACAGAATGAGTTCGACCACAACAACACATAAAACAGATAAAGCCGGATTCGTCTATAGGTAATCCTCTGGGCCTCCACTGTTGGATGCAGACGCGATGGGATCAGACTGGTCACATTTCCCCACAACATGTCCAGTCCCTTTCACATCACTTTGCACCAACAGGACAGTGAAACAGAGAAAAATGCTAAGTTCTGTACTCAGCAAGTGTCCTTGCTCGTATGCTCAGACTCAGCAGGATCCAGCTTCATTTTTTTTTTGATCAAATGTGTAGCCTGACATTTTGTCACATCAATGCGGCCGACATGAAAATGGTCTGTGCTACATGCTTTGGTCTAGAGTTGGATTTTGGGGGCCACAGAGTAAGTATTCTTTCCTCTGATGGTGACAGAATGAGCATGATATCTAGCATGATCTTCCAGATGGTTTGATTTGTGTTTGATTGTGATGATAGATTGATGTTAGTTGTGATCAAACATCGTGTCTCATCAGCATGTCATAGCTAATTTTGGAGTAGCTTTTCTAGAAGTGTACGGCGTCTGTTTTATTTTCTGAACAACATTCATGAAAGCTAACCCAAAACCACTGTGTGTAGTTTAATGTTCTGTTTTATTTATGGTATTACGAAAAAAATACGGGCCCTCATACAGAAATATACATTGATACACACATATTAAAGCACATAAACACACCCTCCCAATGATATGGGAGTAATAAACTGGTGAGCGAGATGTGGGGCAGGATTCGGTAGCGAGGGAATTTGGCTCCATTTCATTTGAAGCACACAGCATTTTGCACCAAGGGTCTCTTTCTCCAAGCTAATAAAAATCCTGGCTGACCAGCAAATCTTGAGATGGAGCAAGACTTAAGGTCACAGTGTCAGAGACAAAGCTCATCTTAGTTACAGTGAACTATACGGGCCCAAAATAAGGAGTGAAACTTTTCTTTGTAGATGCCATCTGTCTCACAGCTGCATCAAAGCTGCAAACACTTCGATAAAAGTGTTTTGCCTACCGTTCTCAATATCCATTCCTCTTTTTCACTCCAAATATTCCTTTTGCGCCTTCTTTTACCCCACCCATAAACTCTTCACCTCTGCTTCTTTTTTCACTTTCTCCTGCTGGCTCCACGGCTTCCCTTCTCTCCCTCCAGTCATTTTCAAGGAGGTCAACACGTGTAACCCGGCCACCATCACTGGGACCCTTTCCCGCATCTCCTTGGATGACGAGGATGATCCCAAGCTGGCAGCCCATCAGGAGGGGGGAGTCGGAGTCAACTTCAGCTCCCTCCCTGGGAACATTCCTCCTCCCAACCTCATTGTACAGGTACGAGACTGAGGTTTACACTGACTGACAAACTGGGTGATCCGAGTCATGCTCCGCTCAATTTGTCTTTCAAAAAAAATGTAGATAAGATTAGAGGTTATGTTTCCTCCACTGTCACGCTGATGTATTTGATGTCTTGTTTCTCCCAAAGGTTCCGCCCCTTGGAGGCCTCAATGAGCTGAGTGAGACGCCCCTAAAGAAGGAGGTGAATGTGGACCAGCAGAGACAGCAGGGGCAGCAGCGTAGCGGCGCTCCAATCTACCTGTGCACCGAGAGCGGCCTGGGCTGGGCGCGGCCGCCCGCTTCCTCCAACAATTCCCAGGATGGAAGTGCCGGAAGCGGAGGAAGTGGAGGAGGAGGGGGAGGAAGTGGTGGAGGAGGGGAGGGAGACTACATGGTCTTACCTCGTAGGACGGTCAGTCTCAAACCTCCAGCGCCCTCCTCCCAAGGAGGCCTGGGACTGGGGGGCGAGGACAAGCCTCTCAACATTGCGGTGGAGGATCCTCCCTTCCCTCCGCCTCCCTCTCCCCTGACCCTCCACCCAGCTGAGAGCGAAGCCTACCCGGCAGATTTTGTGCCGTCCAGTGTGGGCGACATGAACATCACCATGAACCTCAACCGCTCCTATGGGACGATCAAAACCATGCCCCACGGGCACGGCCACATGATGGCTCAGGGTAGTCTTGTACACTCCCACGGAGGACACATGCACACCCACGGGCATTCCCTCCAGCTGAAGCCCGGGCAGAGGCCATCGGTCCGACAGATTCTGACGGGGGGAACTACAGTGGAGAGAACCAGGACCCTGCCACGCAACCTGGGCAGCACCAACGCCAACACCAGCCTCTCAGCAGGATCCCTGGAGGTGGGTCAGGGGTTGAAGGATGAGGGAAGGAAAGGTTCCCTGTGGTGGTGGAGCTTCCTCACTATGTCCACCTTTCACCTAAGCTCATTGGTTGAAGTTATGGATGTGGTGGTGGTGTGGCTATATATGTGAAGTTACAGTGGTGGATTGATGAAGACGAGAGAAAGTGAGCGAGAGGGAGGAAATGCTCGACAAAAAAGGTCCAGTTCTTATTGTGGCATTCTGTCTATGTGACTGGGATTTTAAACACTTTCCAGTACTTAAAACAGAAATAATACCATTTGCATTTAATGTCACTTAGTTAAAGAATGCTATTAAAACAAGCTGATTTGCATTCTGTAACAGTAAGACTACTTTATCCAAGTAACATTTCTTTTTAATCTGGGAAAAATTAGCTGTAATATTCTCATCTAGACAAATGAACTTGTGTCATGTATCTATGGCTACAAAAAGATGTGGGAAGAAGTCAATTTGTATTGTATGGATTATATTCATACAGTGACATGAGTGTGGCTTTCAAGCAAGTCCAGCATTTATACACATTAACAATATGTCTAGGAGATATGCTACGATAATAACTCAGTTGTGTCCCATAGAAGTCTGATATAAGAACGGCAATTATTTACAGCTGAGTAGTATTTATGGCCGCTCACTGAAACAATGAGTGTTAAAATGAGTTATTCTCATAATGACAGACAGCGTCTTCTCAGTTTACTGTGTGTGTGTGTGTAGGTGTGTGTGTGTGTGTGTGTGTGTGTGTGTGTGTGTGTGTGTAATGTGTGTGTGATACCCCCTCCTAACAGTACAAGGTGGCATAGCAGATGGACTGAGACAGACAGGATCAGAGGAAATACCCCTGGTGAATGTCTTTCAGCCCACCTTAATTTTGCACACGCACACACACACACACACACACACACACACACCCACACACACACACACACACACACACACACACCCACACACACACACACACACACACACACACACCCACACACACACACACACACACACACACACACCCACACACACACACACACACACACACACACACCCACACACACACACACACACACACACACACACCCACACACACACACACACACACACACACACACCCACACACACACACACACACACACACACACACCCACACACACACACACACACACACACACACACCCACACACACACACACACACACACACACACACCCACACACACACACACACACACACACACACACAGACACACACATTGACATACACACAAAAACAAGGCTACAAAAACATGGACACAAACACACACATACAAACACACACACACACTTTGGCATCTTGCTGACTCACAAGGTTGATTAAAGAGATGGAAACAACACTTTCACTGAAAAGTGCAGATGCTTCATTTAGGGCTGAGGACGTTAAGGACAAGTCATTAAAACTCATAAAAAATCACTGTCATAAGAGCTACGAGTGCACTCATGAATACCAAAAAAAAAAAAAAAATCTGCAGAGAAACCTGCGGGATGTAATTTACTGCTATAATTTTACCCTGTTTGAATATGCTTGATTTGGAGATGGATATCAGAGCGTGCCTCTCAAGATTAAATCACAGCAGAGTTTTACTCCCCAATTCAAACATGGTGACGCATAATGGAGGGATCACGCAAATGTACTCAGTGTTTCATTTCACTGTTGGTTTTTAGTTAAAGCCTTGTAAATTTTAACTCTAAATGATCTAGTCAAAGCGTGAAAAATACATTCACAGGGCATATTATCCAATCATCGTGCTGTAGAAACCAGTGGAGGGAGTTTTGAAATATGAATTACAACGAACTGTTGGATATAGAGATCAGATTATCATACAATTTCCTCTATTTGATAAATGTATGCAAACTAATGGAAAACTAGTGTGTATGTGGTTGGGTATTTCTTTAGGATCATCATGCCATCAACTCACAGCAGCAAGGGATTCCTTATGAATATTGAATGAGTGAGTTAATGACTGCTTTATGTGTGTCCCCATCAAAACATGCAATATACTGCACACGTACAGTATATGCATGTTGCACATCGTCCATATTACAAAGCAAACTCAATCACGGAATTTCTCTGTTTAAGGTAAGGATTTCTCTGCGGGAGGACGGTAATTGAATTGTATTTTATAAGCAGTGATGGGTGAATTCACAAGGTGCAGAGGACATCTAAGAGAGAAACTTAACTCTCTATCTGTTTGCATCCCTTTTACTTTTTTAAAACCTTGGCTGCCGTAGCATCAGATCAGCAACTCTGCCCTCACAAAGAATGAATACAGCTTTTAACTAACTGTGGAGAGCAGCTCCTCTCCCTGCCAAATGCAAATCTGGCAGACAGCGAGAGCCAGAGAGGAAGTCAGAGATGGAATGTAATGCAATGCAATGTCAGGGCCAGATGAGCTGGAAATGTCTGCAGCTGTTAAATTGGTGGCTTGTGTGCCACTCTCTGTAGCTACGGAGGCACTTAAGAGGAGAGCGGTAGGGTCCAAACAAGATTAGAGGATGAAAACCATTTCTCATATGTTTGTTGCAGCTCTTTTAATCGGAATGTCTCCAACAAATTACCCAAAAATAGCAAAGAGGATGATTTATGTTGGAGTTGTAGTGATTGTATTTGAGACTATGTGAGCCGAGAAATTATTATTTCATTCTAATTCTGGGTTATTCCGCTTCACTAATCTCATTACATTGAAATAGACTGAATAATTTGCTTTTTGCTTTGACATTTGCAAGAATATCTGTATCATGTTGGGCAGCCAGTGCACATTAGCCCTCTCCTTGTTACTGAACAATGGCTTTGAGAGATCCACAAAGAGACTGAGATAGAGAGGGTCTAAAGTTCAATAGTGATCCAGGGGTGGTCATTGATGCTTTCTTCTCTCCCCCTGCCCCCCCTCCTCTTTCAGAGGAAAAGAGTACGGTACTCTGAGCTGGACTTCGAGGTAAGATCTCTGACCTCACTCCCTGTCATTAGCCTGTCTCTGCTTTCTTGTGCTTCTGCCAGGACTTGAGTAATGCATAGAGGAGCAAAAAGCATTGCTAAACCCCTCCCTTCGCACCTCTGTCTCCCTTGCATTTAGAACAATGAACTGTTTCAGATCTACCTTACAAAGAATGCTGTTTCTCCAGCAGCCTGGCCTTGACTATTATCTGTCTTACTGAAGTCATTTTTGTGTCAATTAATCATAGAAACAAAACCACCACACGCTGACACGTACAGTGTTGTCATGTCATTCTCTGGTCTGGGTCCTGGCTGAAGAAACAGCAAAGTAGAGCGCTTTCTGTGTCTGAATGAATACAAGTAATTCAGTTCTGGGTCGACACGTTTGTGGTCGTAGTTGATTGGCTGGTTATATCTGTTGGATCGACGTGGGTCGGCAGTGTGTGAGTAGTATGTCTGTGTTATGACCTGGGTGTCCTGTGAATTTCCAGTCTCTATCGAGTATGAGTCAAATTACTGTACCTCCCTTTGTACTGCTGCTGCTTTTTGTGCGATTTCAGTGTCATCTCGACTGTTGTAAGAGACTGGACATTCACCTTCCACCATGGAGATATATCTGTATACTGCATATAGAGGGTATGAGTGATGACAAGCTACTAACAGTGACTGTGGCTGATCCTTTTACTTATCTAGCAACTCATACGGAGAGTCAATAGTAGCTGCTGCATGAACAAGGAGATTGGCTCTCCTGGAGATCAACTCATTTCTCATGAATTGACTATTGACTTTTGAGAAAGATGTTGACAGTAATATAGGGAAGGGTATACTTCCATGAGATAATGGAAGGTAAACCAATTTTCAACCATGTTTTTTCTGCCCACCGTCAGAAATTAACTTTAAAGTTTCTGAATAGTTCACAACTTAATTAAGAACATAGTCTTTTAGAGGAAATAAAACTTTTCTGAATATTTAAAGGGGTGCTCCAGTGATTTAGTATTGCACTTAAAGTTAGGGGACTTGCAAGAGACACATTTCAAAAACAATAGTCAAACTCTGTGCAGCACAAGTTCAGATATCCTGAGTTTGAGTCCTTAGATTTGGTCCATTAGAACTCTACAGCCCAAGCCCAGACAACCCTGATGACATCATCAGGGTTTTTCAGTGTGTAAAATTGGTGGAGTGCCCCTTTAACTGAGCGTTTCGAGTTTACTACCGAAGGTCATAGTTTATTTGGGTTACATTTGACATTATTGTATGTATCAAACAAGGATATGCCAAAGACAAAAGGGGAAGCAAAACACACAGCAGCAAAAAGACACATAGCAAGGAACAAGTAGCACCTGCCTAGTTGAGCAGAGATGAGAGTGCCCACTCTGAAGTCATAGGAGCCAGTGCTAAGCGCCAGTCCTGGCCGGTAAGTGTGTGGGTGTGAGTGCTGGCATCTTGCCCCTGTGTCACTTTCAGCTTTGCAAGCTGCTTTGACGATTAGCTACTGTCGAACAGCTCCAGCACTGCCCATTAGCACAGAGAGACAACAGCAGTGGCACTGACAAATGCAGTTTGCTGTCAGAGAATTAAAGATCTGGAATACAGCTGCCATCTAGACAGACATATTCAGAACACAGGGAAGGCATTTTTGTCAAATTTCCTTTCACTAGGGCCAGAGTTAAATTCTAGTCCATCTGTTAGACATTTAATGAGTTAGACAAAATCCTGAGTTAACAGGACCACCAGCTAGCAGGCACCAGTCTGTAACAATGGCATTTGTGTCATTTTCACCAAATTTTCACTTTAAAGGACTCCTCTGTAGTACTCCCAGTTGCCAAATTCTCAAAGACTGAAGAAGTGGATGATGTATTAGCATGAGCCAGCAATCTATTGATCTGTCGGCGTCCCTTTCTAACCTCTTTCATGGCTGGCATCACTGCAGTCCCTCAGCCTTTTACCCATTACCATTCCCCTGCCTGCCCATATATTGGCCCCACCTTCCTTTTGCTTTTTTTTTTTTTGTTTCTATTTGGTTCATTTTTGCTGTCCCTTCCTTTCTTCCCTTCCAGAAAGTGATGCACACTCGCAAAAGACATTCTGAGCTGTACCATGAGCTCAACCACTCGTCCAAGTTCCACACCATAGACAGGTATAGCAGGGACGCAGCCATGTCCACATTCAAGGTAAGACCATTGCCCAAAAGCGGGATGGGCACCCACTGTACCTGTGCACCTCCACTCCCCTTCACACTTTGTCACAACCTGAAAACCCCACCCCGTTAACACAAAAGGATTGACTAAAGAATGCAAACATTGACTTCTGCGCAGATCCAAAACTAAAGTAATATGCTTCACAGAATGTGGTCAGCACTGGGTAAATATTATCAGCGACACTGCATTTATATTTACATGCAGCTTTCAGACAATTATAGTCATAAAAATTCTGAGCATAGCTCCCAGTCATTTACAAACATGAGGTACTTTTGAAAGTGGTTGTATTCATTATGGTGTATTTTTTTTCCAGCCAAAGCGCTGCCTTCAAAATGTGAAAACATTGTTTGCTCTAACAAGGGAACTTGAATGTAATGCGAATACTTTATATATTTTCTTTACCATTTGATTAATTCACTGTTGTACTTATTATCTCGTCCATGGAGAACTGAACAATAACTACCTCATAAATACAGCTTTGGAGGCGCATTCTATTTCTGCTTATTTACTGTAAATCCCCTTTTTATGTGTGATGTAATTGGCGTAAGCTTAATTCATTCTTACTCGCAGTTTGGTGCCTTATTAAATACCTGTCAAAAAAGTTGATCACATGAGCTGTTAGCTGAAGGATAATCAATCTCAGCCTGTTAATGAAATCCAAATTCAGCAATTTAATACCTGTGAAACTATTTCTCACCTCACCTCAATGCGCTGTTGAAAAGAAAAAAAACCCCACCACGTCTATACCCACAAGTGTTTTGTCTTTGCCTGTCACACTGCTTAATATGTCTGTTTAATGGATTCATTGTTTATGTACTGTATGTGACTGTTTTTCATGTGTATGTGTGACTGTGTTGGTGGTTATAGTAGGTCTGTGTGTGTGTGTGTGTGTGTGTGTGTGTGTGTGTGTGTGTGTGTGTCAGTGGGGTGCTTGGGTGGGCACCTGTGCACACGAGACGCAGACACATCTTTGAATCATTAATACACCATTAGCAGCAGACGAAAGAGTCCCTGCTTGCTCTGCACTGACCTTCAGAGGGCCAGTTTCATTAAACTTTAAACGCACACACACACACACTCTCTCACACTCGCACTCATCCTCATCTGCAGAGCTTCAGTGCGAAGAGCCATGATGAGTTAGTCAGCCTTGATAGGTGTACTTTCCCCTGGCATCGGCGGCACGCTGGTTCACATCTAATTTACACCGCCAGTAGAGGAACAGAAGCCAGCCTGACATCTCTCATATTCCCCTTGCCATGTAGCCACACACACACACACAGACACACAGACAGACACACACACACACACACACACACAAACATTCTGCCATTTCCCAATGCCAGACTGGCCTTTTCCTTCACTCCTTATTTGCTCAACGTCTTGATCAAGATTTTCAGAAGCATTGGCTGACTCCCCATTCATTAATGCCAAGCAAATATTTTATGGCAGAGAAGAAAAATGGCAGGCTGCTTGCAAAGGCATGAGCCATATATTAGAAGTCTGTGGTTCTTAACAGTTGCGCTGCAGCATGCTAATGTGCCTCAGAGGGAGCTCAGGTGTGTTTTGAGATTATGCCCAAATGTAAAAGAAATGAAAGGCCAGCCACAAATAATGGATAGGCTGTATTTAAACCAATTAAGACAAATTGGAATGCATATATCCTCTGGGCTAGTGACGTCACATAAGTTATGAAATGAAAAGGCAGCATAGATATGGCTTACTCATCCAAATCTATTATGTTAAAAGTAAGTAGGCAGTTCACTTAACTGTGAATAATTACACGGATAATGCTATCAGTGTCGGGCCTTTGACAGGACCCAGCTTGAGTTCAGCTCGGCTGTTGTCAACATCTCACTTTGAGAGTCACCCCCAGACACAGACATGCTGACTATACAGTAATTATGGAGATGAGAAGGGTGTGTGTGTGTGTGTGTGTGTGTGTGTGTGTGTGTGTGTGTGTGTGTGTGTGTGTGTGTGTGTGTGTGTGCATGCACGTGTGTGTGTGCGTGTGTGTGTGGGTGGGTGTGCGCTTCCATACACTCACATATTAGAGTGCCTACATGTGGCTGAAGGCCTGTGTGTAGGCATATGATTGTGCGTGTGTGTCCACTTTTTCCTTTTTGTTTGTGTGTTTATTTTTATGTTTGAGATCAGTGTGTTGTAATGCCTGTGTTTGAAGCACATAAACCGTGTGTAGGAGACAATTACTGCATGAGTAATGATATAATCGTTTCATAATAACTTTAATAACCTCCTTTCTATGCCATATGACAGACACTGACACGGATTTTCACATATATTACATGAGTGCTGTGATTTAATAGCAAACCTAATTGCATTTCACAAGGATATCTTCTCATGGATGGACACCCAAAGTACTGTGGAAGCTGATAACCCTTAACTTCACATGGCCAATTGACTTAGTCACTTAAGGACAGGCACTATTGAGCACCTCACCTTTAAATGATGACAGAGGTTGGCCTGGTCCGAGCAATACTAGTAGAAGGAAAACCTTCACTCCCGCTTACCTGCCTAATGATGAGTCATCTACCTCAAGCAATGATGCCGCAAAACCTCATTTACCCCCCTGACTTTTTCAGGCCTCTCTCTCTCTCCTTTAAAATGCCTAAACAGTATTTTAACCCACACCCTAAACACCCTGAAAACCTTTCTAACCACCGTGGCGGGTGTTCATCCACCACAGGTTCCCCCTCCCCCTCCACCGAGGCACAACACTGAGCCGTCGCTAGTGCGCAGAACGTCCCTCGTTTACAAAGAAAGTCAACGTAAGACATACTAAACCCCACATAAACCTTGTGCAGTAGAGCCCCTCTAACTCACTCTAACGCAGGCCGATGAGTTGATGTGCTACATGTCACTGTATGTGTATCCCATAGTTTGCCACTGTTTGTTCTTCAGCTGTGTTTTCATGCAGCAATAATGTACACTTTATATGTAATTGACTGTTGGTTAAACCCCTCCCGCAAACAGTGATTGTGCAGTCATAGTTTAACATGTGTAACTAGCCATGGCAGGCCTGTCAAGCTTTGGATTTCTCCACAAACTGAAGCAGGGTGTGTGCGGCTGTTGTAAGTTATGCTCTGTGTTTACAGTATGTAAAGTTTTTTCCAAAACCAAAAACAAAAGAGTGAAACTTAAGGTGCTATCGTTAGTTATGTAGAGTTAGCTAGCTTAGTGTGTACAGTAACAGAGCATAACTGTGCCAAGGAGCATATCATTAGTTTGCGGAGTAGAAGTTAGATTAAAAAAAGAGCCTTGTTCATGACTACCACTTTCACTGTGTGTTACTTTGTACTGAAACCTGGTCCAGAATGCTATCAGGGTTTAGGCTAACAATAGCAGTACATACCAGATGCTGAGGATCCTGACAATTTGCCTGGGACATGCAGTTTTTAGCTTTAATCTTTCATCATATCATGTATGTATGTAGACATCAAGTGCATAGTTTAAGACCCTTCTTTGTAGATTACCATTTTAAAAACAAGTTAGCAAAAACATAAAAAATTTAGCCCAAGCGATTTAAATCTATCTAACCTTAATGCTACCTAGCTAGCTGAGTTGACGTTTACCAACTGAAAATGAAAAACCTGCTTTTGTCTACCTCTATTTGAAATCAAGGAGCCATTGTTTCAAAAAAAAAAAAAAAAAAAAAGAATTTAGGTGGTAAATCTGCTGCTGTTATTGTGAACTGTGTATGTGCTGTGTGAATTAGTGTGAAAAGCTTGAAAGGTAACTCGGGGGTGGAGCTTAGCGAACAGTCAGTTCAGAGCATGGTGCTTCAGTTTAGCATTATCTACACATGCAACCTCAAAAAGCCAACTGTTTTAAGAGTATACACAAACAGTGTCAAACTATCCGTTTACTCCATGTAGCTATTTATCTACTTCCTGTCAGCACTGTAAAGTAGTAGTAAAGTGACTGTATTTGATGAGCCTTAATGGTAGATGATCCCCTAGTGGTGTAAAAGTTTGGTGCATCACAGTTTATACCCCATGTTCTTCAGCATTCATATAATGAATGCTAGCCACCGCCTCCTCCATCAACTCCTGTACAAATTCATATTGAAATATACAATCTGGACTCACTATAACCAGAGAGGTGGATTTGTAAGGAGGTCAGATGCAGGAAACGATTTATCTTCAATGATAAAACATGGGGACTTTTTTGCTGTTGTTTTGCTGTTTTGGTTTGTGTTTTCATTACTGTCGCACACTCAGTGTGCTGTGACAATCCACATAATCTCTATGTCCATTTCAGTGCCTGAGTTAAACCTTATGATGTAAACATCCTAACCGAGTGATAAATCAATTCATAAAGACAATGACCCATCCAAACCGATTTCTAATCACCTCATAAACCATGATATTCTGTTCATAAACTAGCTCATTGGCACTGAAAATGACCAGACACTATCCACTTTGTATGGGTGCTGATGAGAGACTCTCAGAAATATGACAAAGGCTTATGGGGTCAGAAGAGACCTGATCCCTTTTACTTCTGTGGAAAGGTAGGATCTCTGTGTTGGCCATGTTGAGGAGATGAGTGGATATCAGAAAATGTCCCACACCTTTTTTTTTAACTGTTCATCTTATCCAATTTTCTGTGTAAGTGCAATAGGCTTAAAGTGGTCTTGGGCATTACATGTGCCACACAGATAGAATCCACATACCTCAATCTCTCAATTTCATGCTTTTCTTGTCTTTCCTCCTCCTCTCCATACCAGCCCCTCACACTTGTTAACTCTATGTTGCCCGGTAACTGGTAATATTTCCCACACTGATAGCTAGTGGCTGTTAAGTAATAACTCAATATTACACTGAATAGATGGAAACGAAGGGGGATGCAGACTGAAAATAAATAAATGTACATGTTGCCCTGTTACATACTCTGTTGTTATTTTTGTGTTTTTGTTAACATATGTATGACCTTTAAATTCTACTCCACACTGCTAA